GACATGTATGAAGGCAAGACACAGATAAGCTATAAATAAAGAGTTAAAACAACAGTTTAAGTAACAGTAAATTACACAAAGGCTCATAGAAATAAAACTAATGAAGTAGCTAACCTCAAGACTTTTACGATCACACTTATGGATTGAAAACATCCTGATAGTGGGCCAGGTGTGGCGGTGCACACCTTTAATCCCAGCACTCAGGGGGCAGAGGCAGGTAGAACTTTTTGAATTAAAGCCAACTTGGTCTACATAGTGAGTTCCAGCGCAATTGCTTCCGTTTGCAGATTTGAGATAATTCCAAAGACATCTGATTTGTTTTTCTCCTCAGAAACTGGCAAAATGCAAAAGGCCAGGACTAATGCAGTATCTTTTGAAGAAAAAAAAAAAGTGCAGAGAATTTGCTCTTCCATATGCTCAGGTGTATAGTAAAGGCATCTTATTTAAGAGGAGGGGAGGCATTAGAACAGTGGGTAGAATTTGGGGTCTAGAAACAGACTTATGAGCACTTGAGTTATATGATATTAGTATCTTAGAGCATGTGGGAAAGGCCTTCTCATCAAACAGGGCTGAGACAGTTACTATACATGTCAAATGCACAAATGTTCTGGTTGAGTGAAGATGGGTGCAAGCTAGGCAGACAACAGCCCTTTCAGGAGCTTCTGAAGGCAAGAATCTGCAATTTCTCTAAAATGGAGGACACCAACAGAGGTCCCGTTACAATCACACATTTCCATCAGAGACACTGGAGGAGACTGAAAGGCCAGCTTTCACCTGGAGGAGAAAGCATTCACAGTGCATCAGCGACTGTGTGTGTGTGTGTGTGTGTGTGTGTGTGTGCGCGCGCGCGTGCTCTCTCAAGCCCTGAAATCAAACAAAGTTAATCCAACTAAAAGGGGTGGATCACAAAGGAATTTATCTAAAATGGCCACAAAGCTCGTGAAATTGTTCAGCATCACTATGAAGGCTATGCAAGCTATACTCACAGAGAAGAGTCTAATAGAGCTCAGTCAGACTACCTGGATGAAAAAGCCTAAGAGTTGGCATGAATGCAGAAAACTGGGAACACTCCTAAGTCGCTCATGTGTGGCATTACAGATGGTAGAACGGCTCCAGGGAATAGTTTGGCGGTGGCTATCCAACTCAAGAAGCACATACTTTACTGCATTTCAGTCCTAATCCTAGCATCACGGTCATCAGAAAAGCATGTACGCAGACACCAGTAGACATAAATGCAGCAATGCTCACAACAGTGATTTTCAAAATAGCCCCAAATTGGAAATGACTCCCATTTCCCCATTAAAGGAACAGCGTCATCTTTCATACACCAGCATACCACACGCTCACTCAAACACACAAATTGCATTTCCATCCCATGACATAGGCGTGCAGCATTGATGGAACATCAGACGAAAGAAATAAGATGAAAAGGGTTTCTTATTTTGTGATACCATTCATGTGCAGCTCCCCAAGCTGTCTGGGGTGGTGGCACACACCTGTACATTTAGCGCTCGGAAGGCTCTGGCTGAGGATGAGCATGTGTTTGAGGCCGGTCTGGATTCTTAGAGAGAAACAGTCTCAGAAAACTATCAAAGCTATCCAAGTTGGCAGAACTTAACCATAGGAGGCGAAGCCTAACTACAGAGCTTAGGCACACACAAAGCTCTAGTCACAGTCCAGAAAGCCTCTACAGTTAAGGCCATGAGAGAGAGAGTGTGTGTGTGTGTGTGTGTGTGTGTGTGTGTGTGTGTGTGTGTGTGTTTGGGGAAGTGCAGGGAGAGGACGGAGCATCCTCGTGTGCGGACAATATTGTACCCTAGACTGTAGGAGGGCTTACATGGCGGTTGCATTGTAATGCTTCATCGAACTAAGCCGCCTGCTTTGTGCACACACACTTATTTAAAGAAAGCTGGAAGAAGAGGGTGGCACGGATCTGAAGATAAGCCACCTGAAAAACCGGCTGCAGCTCAGGAAACCAAAAGCAAGGTCTGCGGCGCAGATTTTACAAAAGGTCTACGCCCAGAATCATCTCTGTTTCTCTTGACACCAACTTGCAGCCAATTTTATTCCCATTAGAGATATTCACACAGATGCTACTGAAAGTGGATAGCTCAAAAGAGTAATGCTTAATTACATAGGGTAAGGTCTAAAAGGCAGTCAAGGTCGATGTAAATAAAATAGTAAATATTGGAAAAGGCAGAGGAAGGAGAAAAGAGAGTGGAATAAATAAATATCTAAATGATGAATGAAGATCGGTTTTGTTGTGGGATCATCCTAAAAAGGACTTATCCAAACCTAGAAAGGATAGCACGCCGAGGCTGTAGTGGATAGCTTATGTTTCCACACACACTCACAAAAGCACACAGGCCATATTTACATACCACGGAAGAGGAGATGTAAGATGTGCAGCCCACTGCTGACCATCAGGTATGAGATCTGTGCGACAGCCTTTCTGGATTACTGATTTTGAGGGGTTTTTTTTGTTTTTTGTTTTTGTTTTTGCTTTTTGTTTTTTTAACCAGGTAGTCATCATTTTGACAAACAAAGTTCCAGGTTATAATCTATTGTCATCTGCTTGATGGAACAATCACAGCTGGATCCATGGCATTAGGAACAGCCCAAGAGAAAAGTCTCCAGGCCACCTTATTCGTGCTGTAGTTGACACCAACCACAGTTCCAAAACTGCTGCCTGGAGGTACAGCTGTGTCACTGACCATTACAGAACCTCTGAATCAGGACTTAGTGAATATTTCTTTTTTTATTATTATTAACCTTTATCTGTAGACACATTTTAGTGAGAAAGGAACAAGGCAGATTCACAATTACGTTGTATGTGGACATACAGGAAGTCATTGAATATTTTTATTCAACAGTTTGAAAAACAGTTACATCAAAGCAGATTAATCCATGATAAAAGTGAAATTTCCGAAGGCATGCAAAGAAAATCTGTATATTCTAGGCTTTCTATCTCTCTCTCATCTCTTCATCTTTCTTGTTCTGGGGATTAAACCCCATACATGCTAGGCAAGCACCCTGTCACAGAACAACCCAAAGCATTAGCTCTTAAGCAACTAAGTAAATTTTGTTTTGTCTGCTCTATTCTCACACCACATAAACTTTACCTTTTGAATGGAGATTTGGAAAAACCCTAGACTTACCTTTAAAAAACAAACAAATAAACAAACAAACAAAAAGCATAATTTAGTTGCTAATATTATCTAGAAATATTTCTTTTAACATTACAATTAAGCGTCTCTTACTTGTACAGCTGTGGGACTCTGTACTCTGGGCATGGAATAGCCATTGGTCTCTTGAACTCAGAGCCAGATTGGACTGGCTAACGTTTTCCTTTGGAAGCAGGGAGGAAGGCATGCTGGGCTGTATGGAACACCCTGCCTCTCCCTAAGGGGTTAGCTGCTGCTTTGGGAAAGGCTGTTCTTTGGTGGTATCCTTATCCACAGATTGCCCATGCTGCTGTAAGCAGCCCTTCACCCATGCTCCTGTCTGTAACCCCAGTGACTTTTTTTAGACGTGTTTATTTTATATGTATGAGTATTTTGCTTGCGTGTGTATGTATATGTACCGCATGTGTGCTTTGTTCAGAAGAGGGTGTCAGATGCCCTGGAACTGGAGTTACAGATATTTGTGAGTTCACATGTGGGTGCTGGGAACCGAACCTCAGTCCTGTGCACAAACAGGTGCTCTTCTGTTTCATCCTCCCAGCCTCAGGAAAGTGGATCAAAGCCCCTGGGTCAGAAGACTAGTCTTGGCTGTCACAGTTGCCTTATCTGCTGTGTGTAGAGGTTGGTCCACACCTCCACAGGGAAAGTTAACACACCAACTTGATGGAATTGTTTCCATTCAGTGTTCTCCATTAAGGGGGAAAAAAACTCCGAAAATAGTATTTTTCTATATCTTTGAAGCATTTTTTCCCCCTCAAATCACCTAAGTATTTTAGAGAAAGACAATATTAAGAACATCTATTCTGGAGGAGGAGTCTTGGTCGGGGGTTGCTTTCACAGCACACAGCAGCCTTTCACATTGTTTACAGAGTGTGTGCTGGGAGAGCTGCTTGTATTGACTTGTACTGGGCAGGACACCATAATAATGTCACTACAATAGGAACAGCTCAACCTTGGACAAAACATCAGAACTTACACATAGGGGAAGTGGCTACTCATAAATCACATATCATTGAAAGTAAAGCCCCAGCTCTCCGTGCTGCTGTAAATAAATATAATCTCTCCATTCGTGCTTGTGCACTGGTTATCCGCTCTCCTGGGTCCTGAGCTAGGGCTGAGAAACACAGAATGGACGAGATGAGCTCTCTCTTCTGCCGCCTTTCACACCCTAAAGGAGACGACGACGAAGCAGAAGATGACAAGATCAGGTGGCCTGCACTTGGGCTGGTCTGAGTTCTTGCTCTCCCCATTCTGCTTTTCATTGCTGGAGTGATGGGGTTCTCTTGGCCAGCAGGAACACACAGGTGAAGATGTCGTCAGTGTAGCAATGAGAAGAGAGGCATTCATGTGCCAGGTAGAAGGAATCTGGGAGATTTTGACTTTTGTCTCTGCACAGGAACCGTGGACCACTCCTCCTGGACATAGTACACTCATCCATGAAGCCCTGACCCAGCGGAAGTAGATGGAGAAAAGCCTAGCAAAGTGGGTGGAGTCAGAGAAGAGTGGAAAATGCTGGATTCCATTTGGAAAAATAGACAAGTTATTGGATTTCACGACTGGCCTGTGGTGGAACTCTCGGCCTCTTCTTAGCTGTCGGGAGCATGAAGGACTGACTGCATTACCATGGCAGAGGGTGTTCTCGTGGTTCTGCAACTCAGGCTGCAGGGCAGGTGAAGGGAGGGAAGGGACAGACTCCAGGAATCTGTTAGGTGCAGGGCACAGACTTCGAACGAAGCTGCTTCCATAACAGTGCCTCCTTATCATCAGTTACCACCTTTGCTTTTTACTTGAGACACATTTGGGGCTGGAAAGGACAGCTCAGTGCTGAGCAAAGGAGTCTCCTCTGGGAGACGAGAAAAAGAAAGGGTGGGCTGAGTCGTTTTCCTCAGGGGCACAGGCCCCCGGGGACAGACATTTGTAATATTGGTCCTCTCCGTCCAGCACTTTGATTTGCCTGCGACAAAGAAAAGAGGCTCTTCAATAGGAAAAAAATCACACAAATACCACAATCATCCCCAGTGCACTTAAAGTTGTGGGGTTGGTTGGAACAGGCTTACGCCCTGGCCAGCTCTGACTGTCCCTGTATCTGGGGGAGTATCCAGTGCCTAAAAGTTGGGATTACACTGTAACTTGGTTTTTCTATGTGGTCAAGTGGCCTGTCTACAGCTGCTGTCCTCAAGAAACAGTTCTGCTGGTTATCGAGACCTTTGCGCCCTCCGCTGTGATGAGGACAAACACACCGACCAGGTTCTCCTCACCACTCCTTGCAATCGTTAAACCTGGGGAAGTGGAACATGGCGGGAGGGCCTGGCCCTGTGTTTGTTCGTACTTGTGGAAGGAGAGAGTCTTGTACAGCTCACCGCCAGTCTTCACTTACAAGTGAATGATCAGGAGAAATACCATTTGTTACCGGGTGACAGTTTCAGCCTTTCTGGAAAGAATGGATTCAAGTTTGGTGTACTTGCTCTTGTAAGAAAGAACTGCTAGAGTCAATAACGGTGGCAATATCTGGGTGGGGTATTTTTAGATGCCTCTCGGAAAGTTTCGCCTTTTCTGTGATATCACAAAGGACCCCTTCTGTTTACAGTTGCTGGAAACTAAGAAGACAGATATTTACCCAAGTTTTCTTGGCTTCCTCTGGCTCCCTTGATATTCTAGAGTTCCCTGTGGATAGGGCCAAGAACACACAGTCAAAGCAAAGCACCAAGTCGTTAATTTTTAATTCAAAGTGATTTTGTGTTGAATGCAAGCAGATGCTGATAATATCAGAAGTCACAGCATAATTTTTTTGATCAAAGGGCTCAAGTGAGCCTGATGAAGCATGCATCTTGCTCGTCTTTGATAAACCACATCAATTATTCACCGTGAAGGCAGACATCCTGACATGAAAGCAACAGATAAAGAGCCTAAGCACATGTTCACGAGGAGAGCAGAAGAGAGTGGGGGTGGGGCTGGAGGGGCTGGAACAGGTATTAATAACAGAATTATTAACTGGAAACAAAGCCGGTAAAACGGCTTTACGGCCACTTTGAACTCACATTTAACTGGTTATAGTACATGGTGTCCTCAGGGCTACTCAACATTTTGGGCTGCTGACACCGTCTGCGAGGTGCGCGCTGCTTCTGCAGGAGACCGTCTTCCGAACCTGCAGACAGGGAAACCTCACTGCAAGCCTTGCCGGAGTTGGGAGAGCGATAGTGGCTCTTCATGTAAATGTACTCGGTGGAAGCCATGTCCTGTTTTAATGAAGCTTTGCTGCTTCTAGGAGAAATGTCACCAATCCCCCCCACAACACACACACACACACACACACACACACACACACACACACACACAAATCCTTAATCAGAAGCAGGGTGCTGGCATCCATAACTTTGCTGCTTCTTTTCTAACCCAAATCAGGCCGGAGTGACGGGAAGCAAATTGGTTTGTCCACACCGCTGAGGCAAGAGCTGGCTGGTGGGCAGCCTCTGCCTAGGGGAGTACCTGGAGCAGGATAAGTCCATCAGAGACAACAAAGCAATCTGGCATCACTTTCACCGCATCTTCTAGTCAGAGTTCAAAGACATCTGGAGCACACACCATCCCAGGGAGAGCAAGCCTTCCAGTGGGATGCATTTCAGGGGAACATGGCTTGAGCTAGTATTTACTGGAGTGCTTTGAACCATGCCACTGATCCCCTGTGGCCTCTGGAGGTGACAGAAGGGAGGAGGAGAGGGGTGAGGGCTCCATTTCATGGGGTTAGCCTCGATTTCAAACCCTGGCCAGGAGTGCACTGCGGATCAAGGACCACAGAGCAGAGGAAGCCAGGGCTCATTTCCCCTCTAAGCAGAGGACTTCTGTGGAGTCTGCCGTCCTCTTGGTTGGATGTCTGAGTCCAGAGTCAGCAGTTCAGGCTGGGAGATTGAGTCCAGCAGTGAAGAGTGTGCGCTACTCTACGGAGGCCCTGAGTTGAGCTCCCACAACCACCTGTAACTCCAGCTCCAGAACAATGTGTGCTCTTACCTTGGGTGCCTGCACTTATGTAAAGCCCCCTCACACACCACACACGCACACATACACCACACACATGTACACACCCTACATACACATACACACACATCACACACACTACACACACAAACACATACACACATACCCACCCACACATACACACACATAAACATACAGTACACAAACACAAAGACACACAAACAAATACACACACTTATATACTACACATATGTAAAAGTTTTAAATTAAAAAAAAAAAATTCAGCAGTTTTAACTTCTTGCCAACACACCTGCCAAAGGATATTGTCCTTGACCATCCTAGGACAGCAAAGAGGGTATTTCCTGGGTTGAGTGTTTATAAGCCAATTATACACAAAAAAGAGTGGGGCGTATGCATGGGGAGAGGGCTCAATGGTTAAGAACACTCACTGGCTGCTCTAGCAGAAGACCCAGGTTCAAGTCCCAGCACCCGCACGGTAGCTCACAATCATGTGTGACTCCGGTTCCAGAGAATCTGACAGCCTCCTCTGGCCTCCCATGGCAACGTATGCACGCGGCACACAGACACATACATGCAGGCAAAGCGCCCGAAGGCACAAAATAAAAATAAGAAAGAAATCTTAAAAAAAAAAAAAATTGAAGCTTTGTATTTAAGATTGTATTTTAACCTCAACAGAGATTTCCACTTTGGGTGAAAATTATAGAGAAAAAAAAAAATTTCTTTTACCTTTTGTACGCTATTTTCTAAAATCCAAGAGCTAAGTGAAACATGAAAATATATGCACTATTGGGCTGCCCTACGATGGTTCTATGCATGTGCCGGGCATTGTTTAAGCTAAGGTCAGGCATACCTACCCTCTCGGAGAGTTAATGCTATTTCCTTATGAGGGAAAGCAATCACACTCCTCCCTTCTGAGACCCACAGCAGGTTGCTGCGGCGTATGACCAGCCTACTGTGCCTCCGCTGTAGACTTTGTACTCCTGTTCCACCGTGTCCACCAATGAACTCTCCTTTCCAGCATTCCGCTTCCGCACGATGAACTCCTGTTTTCCCCACTTAACAGGGACGGGTGTGCTCCTTGTCTTATTTCGCTTCCCATAATCGTACCTAGTTCTACCCAGGCTGTTCTAAACTACAGGGCTTCCCTCTTCACCGTGGCTGTGCAACATTCCAGTGTGCCTATGGCCCACATTCCCTTTGGGCACCACGGGATGGACGCTTGGATCGTTTTCATTTCTTGGTGATTGTGAATAGTGTTTCAATGAAGGTAGGAGTGCAGATGTCTCTTCGACATACTGACTTCATTTCCTTTGGGTATATGTTCCGTAGAAGAATTGCTATGTCATGTAGTATTTTTTTAATTAAAATTCTTAATTGTTATTTCATTTTATGCATGTGAGTTTTTGTCTGCATGTGTTGCCAGGTCCCCACTGAGGTCAAATGAGGCATTAGATGTCCTCCAACTGTAGCTACAGATAGTTGGGAGCTGTTATGTGGCTGCTAGGAACCAAATCCAGGTCCTTAAAATCTTTTTTGTTTCTTGAGACAAGGTCTCATGGTGTAGCCCTGGCTGTCCTGGAGCTCACTCTGTAGACCAGGCTGGCCTCAAACTCACAGAGATCCACCTGCCTCTGCCTCCCTAAGTGCTGGCACTAAAGGCAGGCACCACTATGCCCGGCTAAAGCTTTTTATCTTGAAGTAAACTCATCTGATGATTTTTGCTTTTGTTTCCTGTCATTCTGAGTGTCTTAAAAAAAAAAAAAAATCACTGTCCTGAAGCATTTATCCTATGTTTGGGGAAATTTTTAAGATAGAGTCGCTCAGCAAAGACTATTAGGAATAGCAAATTATGTGTCTTAGATATGACTTTTTAAAGCTTGTTCTTTCTTCAGTTTTGACACTTGGAAAAACACTAACTTGAAAGACATAGGAAGCTGTCCATTCCCTATGCCCGCACCCCACCCCGCTGAGAGAGACTGGAGCAGATAGATCTTGAGTAACACACAGGGACAGAGACTGAGCCCTATGCCTCTAACCTCTTAACACACACACACACTACAGGGTACCATCTTAACCAAAATGTGTTTTGTTTTTCTGTGGGGCTGTTTTGTTTTGTTGAAACAGGGTAGACCAGGCTGGCCTTGAACTCACAAACATCAGCTTGCCTCTGCTTCTTGAGTACTAGGCTTAAAAAAAGAGAAAAGTTTCAAGAAGAATAGAAGCTCCAGGAAAGCATGTTGCCTGTCAAGGGCCCCCGATGGCGTCCACTCTCAGTTCAGTCTAACTGGATGGCATTGGTTTTGCCCGAAATGAAGCCGACTCCTTCTGGCCGTTCCAATACATCCATTTCCTGTTTGCTTTCAAAGTCCATAGTTGGCACCATGGCAGTCTGCAAGGCATTGAGGCCTCCGTGTGTTCTTTCCTTCTTGATTTCCAAGATGAATGAGCAGGGATCTTGAGAGTTTGGTGGCTTTGTGTAGTACAAGAACATTGCAGTACAAGGCTCACCTGCTCTCCCCCAGACTTCCAAACATTAGAGGAATTCTAACCCCGGAGACTCAAAAGGCTGATCTGAAATGGCTTTGGGTTCAGCTGGAGTTCAGCCCACTTCAGCAGGACTTTGGATAATGTTTACACTTGGGCAGAGCCTTGTGTCTGTCCCTCTCTTAGCTGGTAAAGCTTCAGCCAAGATGCGGCGCTCAGCTTACGCTCTTAATGAACTTAATGTTTTGTGGGTGGCCGTTCTTCGGGTTCTTAGATGGAATTAAATTATGGCTAGAACTTCACCAATTTTAACACTTCTCCCATAAATTTAAAGAACATCGTGTTTAAGCATATGGTATCTATACTCTATTAGAATCTTTCACAATCTGCTCATTTAGTTTAGTGAGTGATTATAGTTTTTCCTAAGATTAAAATCTTGGTGTCACAGTGTTCTGCAAAAGAGTCCAGCCACTTTTTAGTGCTTTGTCAGAGGGGAAAAAAAATCCAACCACCATTATTAGTTGGAAGTAACCAAGTTAATAATTGGGGGGAAATCACTGGTTAATGAATACTGTTAGAAAGCTAAGATCATGTTCTCCCTCGTTTGCAGAACCTAGCCAATAATACCTGTATGTGTATAAATAAATGAGCATGTGGGTACAGTACAACATACAGAAAAAGAAAAGCTAAGTATTAGGAAGAACTGGGCATAGGTAATGAGCGTGAATAATGAAAGACGCTATAAACCAATGTTTATCTAGTTTTAACTCTGTCATGGATTTTCACAGTTTGTGCAGGACTAGAGCATACCAATACAATTGACAGTAAAAGAATGGAATCCAGCGTGAAGCTTCATGGCTTTCTTTTTGATTGTATAGAAATCCCTTCAGTGGTATGTAGCCTTCAGGTTTGCTTAATTTCAGTATCTATCTATCTATCTATCTATCTATCTATCTATCTATCTATACACACACACACACACATATACATACATATATATATATATATATATATATATATATATATATATTCCTTACTTGCAACGTTTGTTTTTGTTTTGTAATGAAGTTTAAAACAAAAAAAATTTAAACTTGGCCGGGTGGTGGTGGCGCATGCCTTCAATACCAGTATTAAGGAGGCAGAGGCAGGCAAATCTCTGAGTTTGAGGCCAGCCTGGTCTGCAAAGTGAGTTCCAGGATAGTCAGGGCTAGCTACACAGAGAAGTCCTGTCTTAAAAACACAAAAACAAAAAAAAAATTAAATTTATTATCAATAATGAAAATATAACACAAAATCAGATTTTATAGCATTTATCTTGTATGCAAGGTACATAAACATATGTACCCTGTATGCTGTACAGGGTGTGTGTGTGTCAGATGAACAGCACAGTGTTAGATATGATGGGATGATAAGGAAGATCCCTGGAGCAACTATAATTGATGAACTCCAAGCCAACGAGAGACCTTGTCTCAATTTAAAAAAAATAAAGAAAAGAAAAGAGAGAGGCAGACAGCACCTGAGAAACGACCCCCAAAGCTGTTTCCTGGCCTCTGTTTGCAAGCATGCCTACCCACTACGCATAGGCTACAGCCATGTGCTACCAGATCCCCCAAATACTTCTTAAATTAAAAAAAAAAATGCATGTACGGCTGTGTACCATGTGCGTGT